TGACTCTTTCAATTCACTTTTGGTATCAGGTCCTTCTCTCTATTTCGTTTTCCACTGTGGATGGTACCCCCTCAGTGTAGACGGGATTCTAAGCTGGTTGCCATAGCGATGCTATGAGAAACTGGCGTGATATCATCTTCAGGGCGACACTCGCTGAATCCTTTCATCGGCAACCAGAGGAACATCTGCACTTCGTCAACTGTATGGCGTAGTTTAGTGTACAGTGTAATTCTGTGGGTTGACGTTTTTTTTTTTTTAAATCTGGGTTGAGAGAATTTAAGAAGTTGTGGTCACTTTTGACAGGAGCTTGGCTATTTAAAAATGGCAGGTTTGTGCAGGATATCATGTGTTGCCCACGTGACGATTCTACTGACGATTCTCTCTGACCAATCAGTGGACTGCAGTGTTTTAACTCCATCTTCTCCACCTCCTGGTATTGGCTCAGCTGGCTTGGAACCTCAACTGAGGTGGTACCAAAAACATATCAGGTACCATCAACAACTTTTGACAATAAGCGATCAAAATAAGGGTGCGTTATACTGAATGAAGCCATGCTGTACTATGCAGTGAAAAAAGCAGCATTTGGAGTTCTCTCTCCACTTTAAGCCTTACTAAACAAATGTTTATTTACATAGAATAAGGGCTGTCAAATGATTTTTTTAAAACCATGATTAATCACTTAATGTCAATAGCTAATTGCAATTAATCACTTTTTTTTTGCAAGTTTAAAATTCCATTATTTTGCATTTCAAAACAGTTTTGAAGTCCATATTCACAAGGTGAAGCAATTCTTCTTCGTAGTGTTTTGATTGGGAATCAAATTCATGCAAAGAAATTTACTTTTGCTTTCTCTGATTCATATAGGGTCATGTATGTGTGAAACTACTGTCCACTGCAACAGTAAGGCATATGATTGGTCATAACATGCCAACCTAATGACGTCCCTTAGACAAAAATCTTCCACAATGTTGACTGGTCTGCAGTCAGTTGCCACCCAATTAGCAAGCGCTGTACTTAACTTCTTCGATTTAGTTTCATCCACAGGTCTGTGGCAACTCCCACATTCTAAAATAGTGCTTTGCCGGCTCTGGTGATATGGTTGCCTGCTGACATCAGTCTGATTATCTGCGCCTGTATGCTTAGCTCATAGGTGGTAGCTCAAACTTGAAGTACTTCTGTGATATTCTAATTCTGTTTGACAAAAGGTGTATATTACTTTTGACTTGTTAACTGAGCCATTTGGAGGTTTTTTTTAGTAAAATTAGCCATTCAAAAGTGCAGTGGTATCACTATTTTCCATCCCTGCAGCAGCAGGAAACCACCGCAGTGGCTTGACTAATCATATCAGACCTTAATCATATTGTGATTAATGCGTTAACCCTGACAGTCTTACATATCCTGATACGTACCCTGATTCTCCAAGGAACCGTCTGAACCTCAGCAAACACTTATCTCACTTGAAAACTCAAAACTGAGTTTTCTCTCCAACAGACAGCCAGTTAGATGTGTAGCCTCCTCGCACACACCTTCACAGCCTGTCATCTAAACTGAAGGGAAACCAAAGAAAGTTATAGACATGGCTAAATCAAAGGTAACACAAGCCTCTGGTTGCTTATACAAAGTCCTCAATAAATGAAAGGTGAAATGATGGTGGCAGAAGCCTGCTGTATCATCCTCTGAGGCCGCCATCACTCAACAGATCAGCCACAGTAAGGAGGAAGCTACCTTTCAAAATAAACCACTGGCCCATTCATCATGATGCTCTATTGCCGTCAGCCAAACCACTTGAGCATTTGAACACATCACAAAGGAAAACAAACTTAGGAGTGGGCGTCAGGAGCTGATGAGCTTGAGGGTAAACATGTTACCTTCTGGGCCACAACTCCTTATTGGCTGCTATAAAAAAAAGAGCTGGCTAACAACAACAACAACATAATGATGTGGCACACTGTGAGAAAACACTGATGCAATGTGTCTAAATCATGACTTCAAAAGCTACTGTGTGAAACAGAGACTCATTTTGTGTCTCTTAGAGTCAGAGCATGTGAGTGAGACTCTAACATTAGATAGCACAAACATGTTTGTGTAAAAGGTCAGATGAGTTCTCTCTGACTGAACTAGCATACATTTACATTAAATTTATCTTGAGTTTGAACATTAACCTACAGAGCACTTGCAACAAATATATACATTTGTTAAGTCCACAGTAATCTGTTAGGATTAATAAAACCACACTAACAGTAGGAGGAAAATGTACATGAATATCAGTGTATGCCTGACTGAGGGAGATGTGTTCTAATACAGCCTAAAGTACGGACTTCTTTTTACCATGTTGCCTGGCAACGAGTCAGGCATTGCTTCACTTTAATTTCACTGAATCAATACACATTTTGTGCTTCTCTCTTTGCTATACATTGATGAATCCGCAAGTAACAAAGTTGTTCTTTACCCAACACCACAAACGCTGAGTTGTTTAACAGCCTCCTACACTGAATACTGTAAATCTTATTACTGTGGTGTAAATTTTAAGTTAAGAGATAAAAAAAATCTCCAAATCTTATGTTATTAGTTTTGCAACGTCTCTGTCAGACATTGATTTGGCACAGTTCTTTCACATTTTACAGTCAACCTTGTTGGAAACTTGTCAGCAGCCCCATATCATTTCAATACAATATTATTTTTTATAATTTAATATAAAGACATTTCTCAATTTAAATACATAAATAAATAAATAAAAAATACAAGATTTTAATTAACTATCACTTCACACATTTAAATAATTAAATGTGTTACTGAAGCCTGTTGGACTGCTCTATTGGATGTTATTTTATTTCTGCATGTAAAGGTTGATACAGCACTAATTAACAGTCCTATTGGGACCACTGAGCCAATTAACAAAACCTTAAATACGAAAAGGAAAGGGCCTGATGGACACATTCGAAAACACCCAGCAAGCAGCCAAGTGCCAATAATCAGTTCTCAGAGGGAGATAGACGTTATTTACTGAGGAGGAGGAAGTCTTTAAAGGAGCTGAGCTGAACCTTCTGCTTATAGCACCAAAGTGACTGACAGCACAGCCTTGGTCACTATAAATATACATGAACCTGTTTACCAGCCGGGCCAGGCCTCCCGCAGACTAGCATTGTCTTGGGGCCAGCTACTGTCTCCAATTGCAGCTTCTCTCTCTTTGAGGTTGAACTGGCAGTGGCCCAGTGGTTGGTGGGTAACCCAGTGACAACTGGGCACTGTTAACCTTACATGTGTCCAGGCTCTGACATTTGGCTGTAACACTTCAACGATTAAACTACTCTTTATACTGTACTGAGAATAATTTTCTGCCACTGTGAAACACTACAACAAACAGCGTGGGAGGTATGAAGGGACGAGAGACAGAGAAACTGAAAAGTGAGGAGGTTCTGGATAAATAAGCATGGTGGTGTATGGTGTATGTTCACTAAATGAGTCATAGCTGGTGTTTGGGAACAATTGAAGCCCTCGTCACTCTGACGTGTCAAGATAATTGAGACAGCCACTCTAAACTGCTGCCGGTCAATCAGCCAGGAGCTGGGCTGTATAACAAGTGAGCAGCCTTCTGTTCCTCGTCAGGCTGAAAGGAAATATTTACCCAGATCACCATAGAACCTATGCTGGCTCTGGAGTAAATAAACATGCACTCAGGCAAGACAAACTGAATAGCTCTCAGCACTTTGGGTACAGTTACAGGCAGCAGCTACTTGAGGGCAGCGCCCTAAAAAAAGGAGCTACAGCAGTCTATTTACATGGAAATTTGCTCTATAATGCTGCTTTAATGTTGACAACTGTTGGAGAATAAGAGCTGTCCTGACATTTTGACTGTACAAAAAGTCAAATTCAGAATTACGAGCTGGAAACTTTTTGGCAGTTACTCCATCTATCTTGGTGCTATATAGCAAACCAGCAGACAGGCAATCTTTTTCACCATGTTCATATTTTAAATGTCAATTACACACTTAAAGGTGCAGTATGTAATTCTGGGGAAAGACAGCTGATTGTTGATTTTCATTCCCAAACTGTCAAATACTTGCACTAGGGGTTGGTGGTTTGGTCCAACTACCGACCCAAGGTCTTCTGTATTTGACGACCTGGGAATAAGACTCAACAATCAACTGTCTTTCTCCAGAATTGTATACTGAATCTTTAAACAAGTACTCTACAGATTTAGCACTGCACTCCGATAACACTGTCAGAGTTACAATAGAGAATGTTAAATGAAAGAAATATCAACATTGCAGCAAAACCACGGATATCATCTTTTTTGTTCCATGTAACCTTCTTCCTTGTCAAAAACTGTTGCCCACATTGCTCACAATTCAACTTGACCACCAACAGCTCAGCCTGAGATCTGAGTGTGTTATGCTAGATAAGTTAATGTAGCCTGAGGTATTTCAGCAGAGTTGATTAGTGGGCTTCAGAGATCTGTCAACCTCACTTTTTTCTAATTCCACACCCCCAGATTTTTTTTCATTTATAATCAGAGCTGCAATTTATCAGATTTCACAAAGTTCCCTATGGAACCACAAAGGATTTTTACGATTTTTTTTTTCCCACACATGCTAGAACTCCCAAAGACCTGTAAAATACTTTGATTTGTCAAACTGGCTTAGCGCCCAAATTCCTCTACATTTATTTCAGATTTTTTTTTAAATATACCTTACACTAATTATGATATATGCCTCCTAACTAAATAAGCTAGAGCAAGGACAATTTTAATCTAACCATTTAGCACCACTGAAAGACAGAAAATCTGTCCCCATAACGTTCCTTGGTTATTCCGTTTTTTCAGAAGCACAGAAACCTTGCTCTGAAACTTGAACCCCTTAAACCATGTGTACTGATCAGATATGAAGCATCTTGGCTCTAAAACAAACACAAACCTAAGCTAGTGACACTTCATGGTTGTCTTGTTATTTTTAAGCCTCTGACTAGTTAGCTAGTATTATCCTTTGTGTGATGCAACCCACCCAGTTTGGGAAAGACGATGAGGTATTCTGCATTGCACTGTGGGCAGGCCACGCGTGCTGTGCTGTTGCCCCGCTGCTTCTCGTCCACCCAGCGCTGCAGGCAGGCCTGGTGAACCCACTTGGTGGAGCCACGGCAACGACATGGACGCACCCACTCTGCCGTGCGGTCGTCCTCATCTGTGGCGAAGCATACCCAGCAGCTCCTAAAAACAAACACACCCACAGGTGGGATGAAGATAACGAAACATACACCCTGACATCCTGAAAAATAACAGATTTCTTAATGAGTCTTCACATTACATCACAGTTTTACACTTAATCCCCTCAAGTGTGAACAATCAAACAACTACAGAACAGCTGTGTTACAGCTGATGACAACTGATGATGTCATTTCAGAAGACATACAACCATTGGCTTGTGCGCTCCAAAATCAAATTGGTGTGATAAATACATTTGGCTCTTGTATAAGAAAACCCAAGCAGAGCTCCTGCCCACTGGCACAACACACAGACAAAGGCAAACTAGGGGAGCCAGATAGAATAAAACAAACTGCCTGCAACACACAAGACCCCAGATTCAGTGTTTGAATTACAGAGGAGCCAAGGGAGGTTTAGTTCCCCAAGACACAACAAAATGTCTAGTGTGGTTGATAAGTAACCATTAGCATTTTAAATTCTGTCTTGAATTAAATACGTCTTATCTTCTAGTCTTTATCTTCTGTCAATAATGTGTGTAACCTGATAAACTGGGACATGTGCAGGGCGTTTATTATACATCATAGCTCATGGGTTGCTCTCACGAGTTGTTTTGTGCACATATACGTAATTACTGTGTGGATTTGGTGTTAGACCAGCTACTCTCAATGACCAGCTAATGGAGCGCACCTGCTGCTAGCACATTCAGTTCAGCAGCCTCTCTCTCTCTCATCATTTCAGCCCCTGCATTAAAGCTGAACCTTTCTGTCCATCCGCATGCAGTGAAGACTCCCCTGCCTTTCTCGATCACACACCTTTGAGAAGCAGGTTTCTCTGTTATATCAGCAACAAAAACAAGGATCTGGACTAGAATGGATACTGTAATCAGGCGTAGGGGGGCTTTTAATTTCTCCTTTTAATATTTGGTACTACAGGTGGCAACAGCTTAATAAAGTGAGTGTCCCTCCTCCTGAAGCTGTCCATGGCTCTGACATGTTTTTTTATGACAGGTCGTCTGATCTGACCATGGAAAAATACTGTATTTCAACTATACGGGCCTGTCAGCTATTTGCTGCTGTTTTTGTTTGTATATTGGCTTTTTCTAACATTGAGGCACATGTGTGTGAACATGTTTGTGTGGTGGGCTGGAGGAGAGAGTGAAAGAGAGCAAGCAAGACTAATGTAATCTTTCATATCCCCTTTGAAAAGTGGGCAGTCAGCAACACAAAGTCACTTAGATCAGACTTATTTGGAGTTCTTACTGAGAAAACTGTTGGCGAGGCCATTTTTCACCATTTAGGGAACAATGATGGAGGCAGTGATCAAACTCTCTCAAATAAATCTAGACCACATGGTCTGGATGGAGCACACACACACACACACACACACACACACACAAACAGCATCACTCTGGGCCAGTGACTCTGCATGAAATCAACCAAGATCAATACATCAACCCTATAGGCAAACAAGCTGTTGTGCTGGCAGCTTGTCAAGCATATCTGACAGCATGGCAGAAATTGCTCAGTGCTCAAATAAAAGGGCCCTTCATCCTGCCATTTGGATACAAGGCAAAGAATTTCCAGGGGATTATACTTTGGATCACAATGGTGGATACCTTTTCTAATTAAAATCAATATCTTTTTAGACCAATATATCCAAAATAAGGCCAACATTTACCTTGCTTTTGCACCGCTGCTGTTGCTTTTCACTGAATATTAAGGTTGTAACGGTACCAAAAGATAATCGGTGCCCTTGGGGCGAAGCCTGACTACACTGTAGCTATAGAGGAGCTCAAACTTTTAAAACCCCAGCCTATTTGCTAGCTGTATGTGGCTCTTGCAGAACATATTAGTGATGATATCACAAAAGCTCATGTGACGGTACATTGGTAAAGTCAGTTTTTTTGGCGCATGCCACTGCCAGGGTTAAAAGATGTGGCAAATCAACTCCAACAGACCATGTCAGAAAATGGATCAGCATCAGGAGCTCGAGAGTCCTGTGAAGCGGAGTCTGGGCTCTTCAGAAGTGCATTTACAAGTTTTGTACATCAATTCACTGAGAGAACAACGCAGGCATGCCTTAATCCACGATTTAAATCTTTGTCAAAATGTGCCATATTCAGTGTATAAGTTGATAGCTCTGAGGTTGTTGTTGTTTACTGTAGCAAAGGGGACTTTGAAAACACTAACACACAGATAGCGGAAGGAAGAGAAAATGCCAATCGAAATCATTGCCCAAAGTCTTATAGCCAAAGTCTACATCCGGTGAGTCAGCTTAGCCAGCACTGAACCATGCCCCCTGTATTGTGATGGTTTGGCACAAACACACTAACCATTACAGCCCTACTGAATATTGCCTCCTGTTTTGCCTCTACATAGTTTGAGCTACATTCTTCTGACGCTGCCTTTAGGATTAGTCACATTGCTACTCAAACCTAAATTCACCAGGGCATCCCTGTCTAAGTGCACACAATATTCTGATAAACCACAGCTAGGATATGCAGTGAAAGCACAAAGGGGCTTGGCTTCAGACGATGTGAGGACACACAGTCTCCCTTGTGTGTGACATCCAGACAAATGCCTTGTTCTGGCCTCAAGCCAAACCATATTTTAACACTCCCCCTCCTGCCCACAAGCATCCCAACACATCCTCCTTCCTCTTCTCCCACACACAGCGAAGGTCTTTCTGAGTAAACTGTTCTTCCACTTAAAAAGGAGTATGAGTTATGCCTCCTCACTTACAGAAAAGGAGCCATTAGTATGTTTGGCCTATCTGCTGTGCTATCTTCCAATTAATTGGACTCCTTTTGTGAACAATACACCCCCGCCCTCCTCTCCTCCATGACTGTCAAACATCTGGGGAGGTAATTTGATATCCAAGTTCCCTAACCTTACCAAAGCGCATCTCCAACTGTGACATTATATTGCTTTTCCATAATTAATCAGCAGCATGCAGTTGGCTGGAAGGTTCACTACCCCTGTGTCTCAATGCATGACACTAAGTTCAAGAATCTAGACCAGTGACACTTAGCTGCTACGTACTAATGAAAACAGTCATAGGTTAGAAAGATTTAAGAAAATCAGCAACACAAGGCCATGACTACTTCAGCCAAGCTCCTGAACTATGAGTGGAGGGTTCCACTGGTTCTAATACAAAGTAGAAACAGTGTGCTAACTGCTGAAAAAACAACAACAAAATAAAACAACAATTAAAATCCAAAATGTCAAGATTTTCCTTAAAGCCATATACACAATCAACTAGGCCTGGAATGAGCTTGTTGCTAGGAGATCCACTGGTTGAGGGGCTGACTGCTGCCTTCGACCCATTTACAGCCTGACGATCCGCGTGACATTTATGTTCTCATTTTCATAATTACACTGAACCTTGAACAGTTGGCATTTCACTGGATGAATGAAACAATGATTACTCTACACACACCTCCCATAAGCCCCTGGCATAAATTCAATGAGGAGACAAACTGTAACAGAAAGGTTTTGGGTTTTTCTTTCAGGCTGTGATTATGTACATTTTGGGTATCATTCACATTACAATATCTATATTATTAAATCTGGAAAAAAGCCCGGCAATAAAATATTTGGAACATCAGGGAACATCATGTATATAACATCACATCCACCAATACACATTGCAGATAATCCTGTCACAGTTTCTACTGCATTAACACAAATTTAAACTCAGGCACACGTCTATCCATTCCATGACAACAATACAAGGTTGATGTAAAACTTGGCCCCGTGCAGGTTGAGAAGTACCAGACAGGGCAGTATCTCTTCTCTGACAGGGTTTAGACAACAAGCTGCCTGTGTCTGACCTGATAAGACGTATCTCGAGTTTACTGTTCTATTTCCTGTCTTCAACAACAGGTATGCTTAGAATGGAGGAACCCTGCAGACTTTTCATTCTCACTAGGAAGTGGGAAATGTGTCTTACCACATCAGGAACAAACAGAAATAGAATGAACCTGTTTCACTCACATTTTGATTTGTCTTGAAATCTGTAGGGACTGTAGGAAAAGACATGGACATGTCTGTATGTCTCCGACATCACCCATAAGTTTCTGAGAGGATGGTTTAAATCCATATATTAAAGGTGTAGTGTGTCAGATATTTTGGCATCTAGCAGTGACGGTGCAGATTGCAACCAACTGAAACTTCTCCCTGTGTGTCAAGCATGTAGGAGAACTGCAGAGGCTGATGTGAAAATGGAAAAGGATCTATCTAGAGCCAGTGTTTGGTTTGTCCGTTTGGGCTACTGTACAAAAAACATGGTGGACTCTTTGGAAGAGGACCTGCTCCGTATCTAAATATAAATGGCTCATTCTAAGGTTATGAAAACATGATTCTTAGTTTCAGGTTATTATACACTGATGAAAACGTAGGTGTGAATATTATATTCCACTTCTGCCAATATGTCCCCCTAAATCCTACATAATGAACCTTTAAGCTTTACCGCTCTATGCCTTATTGGAGGTAAATCTGAGTTGTTGTAGACATCTTTGCTGGGTGAGACATCATTGTGCCAATAAGGCAAACATGTCCCAAACTCCCTCTGAATAAACAAAAGGCTTAGTGGACTTTCTAGTCACTTTAAAGCAAACTTTTCTTGGTAGACACCTCTAGCAGCACTTACTCAGTATTTATTCAGTGTTCAACTCAGTGAATCCCCATAGCATACCATATATGCTTTAACCCTCCTGCTCCCACAGTTGAATAATGTATGCCAAATCTGTGGCCTTCCGTCATCATTGTACTAAGGTCTAGGCGTGTTCTGTTGCTGGGGCCACAGGGGAGTAGAGGGGCTCTTCTGTGAAAGACTGTGGACGGCCAACTTGGATAGATTGCTCAGGTTGCTGCCTGCCTGCAATGGATGATTTTCCAATACTCCCCTGGTGCTGAATAAAACATGACGATGCAGGAGAGGAACTTTAGGGTCGAGGCGCTCAGGTGACACGGCCAGCTGAAGGGCCAGAAGGGACACATGTGGAG